TTTTCAAATGTAACTGCTCCATGAGATCCAAAGTCTGAGAAGCAACCACTGCTCTATGCTATTATATTGAAAAGGTGAAATACATTAAAAAGTGAGAGTTGAGGTCATATCAGAGGGAAGCCCTAAGCATATCAGAACAGGAGGGAATGGACATGGCCCTGCCCAAGCTGAAGTCCCCCCAAGAAGGATAATCATCAGCTCTTTGGGATCCTGAAGACTCAGCTGAATTAAAATATACTACGGAGTGGGCAGGGGAATGCAAGTTCCATGACAAAAAAAAAAAAAAAAAAAAAAAAACCCTCAAAATTAGCTGGGTGTTGCCTATAGCCAAAAACTGGCAGCAACAGGAAAGGGCATATTCTCCAATGGAGAAGGCTGGCAGGACAAGGCAGCATCAAGGCCAAAGCCAAGCTGGAAATTCAGATCCCATGAAGGAAAACTGAGAATGAACCGATTCATTCATCCCAGGCCCAAATTACAGAGCTGTGTGTTGGTTTGTCCCAGGCACGCTGGATAAGAAGGTCCAAGCCTACAAGACTAATTTCAGAGATCACCTGATGGTGGCCGTGAGCAGCGCTGAAGCTCTATTTGCATCTCCAGCCAAGGGTGGGAAGGGCTGGTAGACCAAAATGCACATGGGCTTTGGAGCTAGACAGAGTGGGTTCAAATCCCAGCTCTGTCACAAGCCAGCCACATAACCTTGGGCACAGGTGTGTTTATGTGCATGTAGTTCAATTATCCAGACAATTTCTCATGCCATTTCTGCTTCAAACTAACTTTCTAATCTGGGTAACTCATTTTTACCTCTCTGATTTCAGTTTCCTTAACATTTGAAGGACCGGGACTAACTGATACACATGAACCCTCCTAGCTAGAACATTTTTTTTTAATTCTAATGCCCTTAAATCCTTACAGAAAAGTGGTATAGCACAGACAGAAGTTCTGGTCTGCCTCTGTAACACGAGCTTTTTAAACTGGACCCAAGATTTCACCCCTGTGTCCTCAAGATTTTGTATCTAGGTATTAGATAGAAGACCTGCATTTTGGGGCCATAGGTACAATTACATAAGAAAATCTATGTAAAAACAAACTAACAAACAGGTTCTTTCTTGGCCCATAAAAGGTGCTGAATGTTTTTTTGTTTTTTTGGTTTTTTTTTAGATAAAGTCTGTGAGTTCTCTTATTGTAGTAAAATAAAGCCTTTACAACCCACAGTGGAGTAAAGGAATATTGGCACTAACTTTAAATGGTCCCAGATAGTTTAAATTGTCAAGATTTTTTATCTGATTTTTACAGTTTCATTTGTTTCCCCTAGAGCATTCAGCTACTACTTCTTAATACCTTGGTGTGTTTACTCAGAGTATGCCCTCTGCTCTTTATTGTTGCTTCGCTCCACGATGGCCTTGGAAGAAGAAAATCAAGTTTGTAGAGTCGTATGTATCCTAAGAATCAATATACCCCGATTCTCCTGTGAATAAAACGTTGGGCGTGTGTTGACTTCATAAAAATTATTTTGTCACTACATTCTACCCAACAACAGAAGTCCAAAAACTGGAAACCATGCTAGATCTCTTCAACCCCTTCCCTTACATGCCATGCCAACCTTTCGCATGTTCTGCAATCACCTGCCTTCTCCCCACTTCACACCCTGAACAAGCCACCATTGTCACTTCCACCCTGACCCAGTTTGTTGACCCCTTGGTTTTTATCCCAGGCAGCAAAGAATGACAAGAGTCAATGATCCTCCTGGATTCCTTAGAACTCAGCCCAATTCCATATAAACGACCAGGCCAGCAAGATGGTAGATTGTTTCTTTGGGAACCCATCTTTATAGTTTGTTTTCCTGTTATAGACATGTGTTGCTAAGAGATCTTGGCTTGGCAAGACCCACTAAATTTTTGCTAGAAAATCCTGGCTTTGTTTCTCTGACCACTATTATCAAAACCTCTCAGCCATCCTCAGAGGCTCTATTACCATCACCACAAAAGGAAACTATTCTACTTTTACACATTCTTGCAAACCCCACGGGGGCCCGTGAAGTTTTTTGAAAGAAGAGTACAGTCTAGTAAGTTAAGTACCATGCTTGGGTTTAGGCTCTCCAGTCCTTATCCAAAGTTTGCTTCTCTGCCATTCAGACCACACACAAGGCAGTTCAGTTACCTTTAAGAGATCTAGTAGTAAAAATGCATCCGAAGAAAATCAGCGAACTGATCTTCATCAGAAACAATATCACATAAGCAACATTTAGGTAAACTACATTAAACTCAGAGTGGACTTCCCGTGGGGAAGTTAAGGCATGTAAAAGGGGGATTCGATTTTCTCTGTGGGGCACCCCAAGGTAAGACCACATAAAATGTTTGAAGTTCACAGGGCAAAGATCAGAGCACAGAGAAAAACAAATCCATCCAGTTACGTACAACGGAATGGTCATGCCCTGAAATGGAATGTCAGTCAGAGAGAAAGTTCAAGTACAAGTTAGATGAGCCACACGTCTGGTAGACTCTAAGAAGGGTTCATGAGCTGAGACTTTTAAGGCTTTAACTGTGAGCTGCTGTGCATCCATTGTAGTCTCGTGTCTTTTGAAATTGGTGTGCTGTGACCTGTGGATTTCTGATCAGTACAATAACACTATGGTTTCCAAGTCCCTTTCAGCCAAAATTGTTTGAGTGATCCAAATAATCTATGACGTGCCTTGAGCTCCATGATGAAAGATGCAATATTAAAAAAAAAGGGTAATTTTAGTCATAATAAATAATGGTAATGATGATGAATGGCAGTGTCATGGAGAAGGAGCTGGCCTGCCATTAGGGAGTCCAAAACAACCAGCTATGAGCTGAAAATGACTGTGTCCAGGCCAGGAGGATGCTCCGTGACTGAGACCACATTAACCTTTCAACCAAAGACCCAGACGAAGCCCCTGATATCTAGGTGTGACCAGTTGTAATGGAAAAAACTACAATATTTATCCTTGAGCCTGAATTTGCCATGGGCTTAAGAGACATTTTCCCAGACAGGTCAATAGGGAGCATGTTCCCTTACTCTTCCAACAGAAGAGAATACTGAGTCAATCGGGGGAAGAGCCAGATTACACACAGGAGTTATGACTCTAAACCTAGTACGCTTTCCATTCTCTACCAGTCCCCGGACAATTCAATGGAAAGAGAGACTTCAGAAAACAGCCAACTTGGATGAGAACATGCTGAAACGGGATCCTGTCCCTCAAGATGGTTGCAGAGCTGTTTTTCATCCATTTAGGCTGACAGAGCTTGCTAGTGAAATCCTGGGCACCTCAAGCAGGCAGGAGTCACTCGTTAATGTCCTAGACCTGATCTCCAGAGCCAACAGCACATGGCGGGGGCCCACCGAGTTCCACTGGACCAGGAGGGGAGGGAACACCGCTCTAGAGCCTTGTCCAACTGGACGTCTCAGAGGGCTAATATGCTGCCAGAGGCTTAATTAATGCTCCTGACTGAGGGGCCTGGCCTCCTACTCCTCCCATGTGCTTGAAGACCAACCAGTGGCCACTGGCAAAGACAAAGTACCCTACTCTCTGCCCATCAAGAACCTCTACCAAAAACGAGGAGACTTGCTAGAACACACGAATCCTTTACTTCTTTGCCTTTTTTATTCTTTTGCTGTATATACTGAAATTTTATTTTTAAAGTCTATAGCTTTGACTTGCTTGCATGTTGGCATAGTTTAGCATATTTTATCATTTGGAATGTACCCGGCTCCTCTTTTTCTATTTTATCATGATACTTTACATTTCTAATTTTTTTAACTGATCAGGATTCTTTTTTGTGCTTATCCTTTGAAGCTATTCTCAGCTGTTTGACGTGTATTTCGTTTTTTTCCTTAAAGAAATTAATTACTATTTTATCTTTCTTAAAAGGGTCTCTTGTTCAGTTGAAGCCATTTTAAATTTTATCTCTGAAATTTTTGTTTTCTTTTTTATATTTTTTAGCAGTTCTCATTTTATCTCGTTTCACCTTTTGCTATTGCCCTCGTTTCTTCATCTTCTAAACTTGTGCTTTGCTTCTTTAATACTGACATTTTAAATTGTAAATTCTTTCCCATGAATAGCCTCTGAAATTATTTTTCTTTCATTTTTTAATGCATCTTACATTCTATTTTGATACCACGTCTATTCCCCTAGTGAGAAGACTCCTCGAGGACCACAGGAAGAGGCTCGAGTCTCTTTCCACAGGGTTTGAGAATCTGTGAAAGTTAATCCTACCAGCTCCATCCACCAGCCACGTCACCTCGGGGACCTGCTCTGGTTCTGCGCTTCGGCTCACAGCTTCTAGAAATGCTGACTTCTTCCAACAGACCTCCTCAGACACTGGACTTCCTCGTTCCCTTCCTGTGTTCTGAAGGCGTGTGGGAACGCAGTTGGGAGAAGCACCACCCCCCGCTTCCACCTCTCCCTCAACCAGCCCTGACCCTCCAACCATTCCATGCCAGCCATCCCATTTGGATACGATGACACCCTTCTTAGCACTGTATCCAGAACCCAATAAAATACAACTCAGAATAAAGAAGCCCCTGCAGTAAATATTAGTAAGGAAATAAAAGCGCTGGTCTTAACTGTAAAGAAATCAGAATTTGAGCTCTGACTTTGTCACTAACCCACCATATGACCTGGGCAAATCACTTGATTACCATGGACACTGATATTCTCCTCTAAAAAAAGGAAAAGACTATTACACCAGATTATTTCTAAGGACCCCTCTGGAGTTAAATGGCCTATGAATTTATGCCCTTGAATTCAAAGCAAAACAAAACAAAACAAAACAAAACAAAGCAATACAAAAACAAAAACCTGACATGACCTCAGGGTGTTTGGAGAGCACGTTGTTATTTGTACCCATTAACAGAAGCCTGAAAGAATTTATTCCTGCCACAGTACCAAGGTCTTTTCAGCCACACCCACTGAGCGACACAATGCATTCCAATGGTGACATAAATGAGGTCCCAGGTGAGCTGAGCACCCGACATACTTGCCATTGATGACACCGTCTGGATTGAGCATGGGAATGATCTTGAAAATGAAGTTTTCCCTTAGGAGTCTAGCCACAGGGTCACTGCTGACCAGGAACTCCAGGGCCCCCTTCATCACCCAGCTGGCGTTGCTCTCTCCCGGGTGCACTCGGGCAGTGATCACCTGGTATGGACGCTGCCCTGCGGAGAGAGAAACGGGAGAAACTTAAACCTAAGTCCACTTTCCATTTCCAACAAGATCATCTCCCAGGGGCCAGAATGACTCCTGCCCGGCATGAAGTCCAAAATAGGCTGACCGGTTCCCATACATATCTGATCTACACTGATCCATTTTCCATTTGCCTCTATAGTCTGCAAGACTCAAGAAAGTATAGAGTGAAAGCTCAAGACTTTATCAAAAGCATAAGTACTTAGCGGCATGAAAAGAAGCCAAGAAGCCGATTTTATCAAGACTACCAAAGGAACAATTAACTCTCCAGAATCCAATAGCATGATGCTGTATGTCACAGATCTGAAATTGAATCTTATCTTCATACTTAGCAGCTGTAAGATCTTAAGTGAGTAATTTGATTTCTGCAAGGTTAGTATCTCATCTGTAAAATGGGGACAATGATATTGATCTTGTGTGGGTGTTATAGAAACAAAAAGATGTCAATAAGGCACTCGGCAAATTGCTTGGCATTCACTACAGGTTAGTTTCTCCCATCTCAATTATGAGGTCTGTGGGTAAGATGGCCCTTCTCATTCCCCAGTAGAAATGGGATTCAAGGGCAGAACTTGTGCTGGGAACTTTATGTCTGTAGGACACTGAACTCAAACACTGAAAAAGATTTGACAACAGTGAAGCACCTGGCATCTCAATCATGCAAAAATAATCGGGAAAACACTCTTTGCCCAATCACAGCGAGCATACCAATCTGAAGAGGCCTTATGGAGACAGCATAGACAAAAAGCCCAAAGATGGGCTTGTCTTTCTTTCTTGTTGATAGAAAACATCTGGACCATTGTAATGTTGAGATGTATTCTAAGACCACATCCTGGCTCAGGTGAAAAGTGTGTTTTGATTGATTAATAGTGTCTGTCCTCCATACACTTGGGGAAGGAGGGGGGAAGATGTGGCATCATACCAGAAGTTAACCACATCTGCTCTAACTCCTTGTCTGATATTTTGTGTGTGTGTGTGTGTGTGTGTGTGTGTGTGTGTGTGTGTTTTCTGACTCTCTTTTCCTTTTGTATCCTCTCACCCAATTTCTTACGGCTCCTAAACCCACCTGAGGGACAAGAACTAAGCATTTGCCAAATATAAATACCCCAGCCATCAAGCAGCCTAAAAGTTAAACTAGTCATTTCTTGGGGCACCTGGGTGGCTCAGTGGGTTACAACCTCTGCCTTTGGCTCAGGTCATGATCCCAGAGTCCTGGGATCAAGCCCTGAATAGGGCTCTCTGCTTGGCAGGGAACCTGCTTCCCCCCCCCCCCACCTCTCTCTCTGCCTGTCTCTCTGCCTACTTGTGATCTCTGTCAAATAAATAAATAAAATCTTTAAAATAAGTAAATAAATAAAATAAACTAGTCATTTCTTTCCACTCACTCAAATCACCGTGAGCTAAATATGTCTTTTCTTCCTTAAACAGTAGCTTTTTTGAGGAAATAAACTGTGTCTCTAATTCTGTGCAAAAAAAAAAAAAAAAAAAAAAAAAAAATTGAACAACCTTCAATAACAGAGCTAAAGAACAGGTAATAGTGAATTACTATTATCATCCATTTAGGCAAAAAAAAAAACACTATCTGTCGACAACCTCAGATCTCAGTTTGAGGAGCAGAGATGGGTACATTTTTACTGACTATGGTGGGAGCAGGTCACGTCAGCCCCTTATAGATCATTTATATATTGGAGACAATATTTGGTTGTTTTTCCCTAAGCAGGTGTCTTGAGCATATTCCAGGAACTACAGAAGCCTTGGGATATAAAAGCTGAATAAATTATAGTCCTTGTTCTGTAAGAGGCCATAGCCTTTGCCAACAGTGACAATCACACAAGGAAATCACCACAAGTGAGCCAACGGAAGTGTATACAAAGTACCAAAGTCTGACTTACATAAGATCAGGTTTGAAGTCATCCTGATAACATTGTTACTTTGGGTTTTTGGTGGTTTTAAGATGTTACTTATTTATGTAAGAGAGAGCACAAGCCGGGGAAGAGATAGAGGGACAAGGAGACTCCTCATTCAGCAGAGAGCCTGGCGAGGCTTGATCCCAGGACCCTGAGATCATGACCTGACCCACATTCAGATGCTTAACTGACTGAGCCACCCAAGTGCTCCTAATAATGTTACTTTGAACGGCATGCAGTCTCGTGTGCTTTCTGGATTTGGGAGGAAAAAGTGAGAGCCTTCATGAGAATATTTGATATGCATGTCCCAGCAAGGAAGAGAGTTGAGAGCCACTAGTTTAAGTAGAGAGTCCAGGAGCACCTAGGTGGCTCAGTTGGTTAAGTGTCCAACTCTTGGTTTCAATTCAGGTCATGATCTCAGGACATGAGATCAAGCCGAGATGGTCTCGGCACAGAGTCTACCTGAGATCCTCTCTCTTCCTCAGCCCCTCCCCCAACTCACAGGTGTGTGCTCGCTCGCTCTCTTTGTCTCTCTCAAATAAATAGGTAAATAAAATCTTTAAAAGAAAATAAAAAGAAGGTTGGGTGCCTGGGTGGCTCAGTGGGTCAAAGCCTCTGCCTTCGGCTCAGGTCATGATCTCAGGGTCCTGGGATCGAGCCCCACAGAGGGCTCTCCGCTCAGCAGGAAGCCTGCTTCCTCCTCTCTGTCCACTTGCAATCTCTTTCTGTCAAATAAATAAATAAAATCTTAAAAAAAGAAGAAGAAGAAGAAGAAGGAGAGAGTCCATGATGGTTTTTCAGCAGGAGAAAGACATGTGAAAGGCTACGTTTCATAAAATCATTTTGACATTATTGCAGGTCATGTATTTGCTGAATCAGAGACAGTATGGCCTATTGAGTAAAGAACAACTTTTGGAGCCATAATTCCAGAGGTCACATTCCAGCCCCACCATTTTCTACAGAACGAGTCACGGAAGTTTCTGATGAAATCGAGTATTAGATTGGTCATCCTGCAGGTAAGTCTAATGATTTGCTAACTGAAGCTTACTAAATAAGAATATTGAGGAGGAAGAGAGATATACAGTTAGCTAGCTGAGCAGAGCAGAACCTAACTGAAGGCCAACGTGCCCCCTCCATCATTTGCTCACAATCACATCTCACTCTCTCCAAAGCAAGTCGTATTGGCACTCCGATAAAAAGCTTGTTGAGAAAGAGGCTTGATGAATTCGTACCCAATCAGCAGACTATTTTCAGTTCTATAATTCCATACCACTCTCTTTGTGGTCTTTGAACCAAGTTCATTTACAGCATATGGAACAACAATGGTAAGTACTCCCAGCCCAGCAAGAAGAAATAAAAAATAGCTTAAGCTCTTGTAAATTTCCAATACCAACTGAACACCCTCATTGTCTGGGCCACTTGGCTCCCACTGCCTGTTACCCAGTACAATTCAATGCATCAGTCCATAAAGTGAATGCAGCCCTTGCAAAGAGATGCCCACAGTGTGCCTTTCCTTCCAAGAATCAGGTTGATAACGTGCTGTATTGTAATATACCACAAGACCTAGCAGACTGCTCTGAGCATCATAATGAAGCAAATGGGGAAAACTGTGGGTTCTCATGAAGACATAAGCAGCATGTTAGCCATTTCCAGTTGATTTTCCTCTCTTTCTTCTGTGATTTAAGACAATTTTACAGTTGTACTGGTGAGTTAAACTTATGAGACCATTCAGTTGCGGCCGCAAATGGTGTTCTAGAGAAGAGACAACAGCTGCAAATAGTATGCGACACACATACATGTGTTTTTTTCTTGTTATTGACAATTTTGGTTTTAAAAACTCATTTCTGCTTAGGGTAGGGCAAAGAGGATCAGGTATCTGCATTTTTTTTTTCTCTGCAATTTATAAAATCTATTCCGGAGGTCACCAAAATCTATGGGGGAGTCATGGTTTGGCAATATGCTAATTCTTAAAGCTCAGTATTGAATTTATGTCAGTGGTAATAACATCTGTAAAAAGAGGTTAGAAACAAGGAGGGAATTATATAATGCCTAAGAGATGGCAGGCTCACGGCCAGTGAAAAACTGAGTCAGAATTGAAGACATATGTGATGATACACGTGTGTACCCAACTCCATAAACATCCATCCAGTTTTTCCTTTTTTCTTTCAACAATATATATTAAATTCCTACTGGCACTCTGGAAGATTGTGGAGGTTGGAAGGAAATAGCGGTTTCTGCCCTCAGGGAACTAATAATAGTCTGGTGGGAAAGACAGGAACACAGATAATTATGATCCAGTGGGATCAGGAACATTTGTCAAGACATTTTCAAAGCATCGTGGAATGCTCATTACAACATTATTTATAAAGAAGTGAGCAACTGGAAATGACTTAAATGTGCACCCGTAAAAACTAGCTAAGGGAAGGATTCATAAACAGAGTGCGAGGCAAGTGTTAAAATGGCACCTGGATATTTCTGTTGACACTGGAAGATATCTGTGACACTATGATGAGTGACAAAATACAGGCAAGAGAGCTACATCATAGTGGATCCCATTTTTATGTAGCTGTCACATTCTCTTAAAGGTATCTATCTATACATAGGACACATTATGGGTGGAGGTCATTTAAGTAATTTTTATGTCCTCTATATCCCTATCTAGAATGTTCTCCTCTTCAGAAAATAATAAGCAAATGTCAATTTTCCCAAAGGCAAAATATTTTCAAATAGTAAACCGCAGAAGAGAAAGAGGAAAGAAATGGATTTTCACAGAAGAGGTAACATTGGATCTGGTTTGTCCAGATTGAGTGGGCGTTTTCCAGATGAAGTAAAGAAAGGAAGAAGGTGACAGAAAAAGGCTAAGTAGATGCATTTGCAAAATAACAACGTCATAGAACACCTAATGCCTGAAGAAGAGCAAAGTGATTTGATGTGGCTGTAGTCCTAAGCTATACGGAAGGTAAAATGGGAGTAAAGCCACGAAGTGGTTTGCACCTGTGTCTGCAGACCTTTGGAACCAATGCTAAGGAGACTGAAAACAATCTTACAAGTTGTGAAGGCCCCACGGA